GGGGGGGGGAGAAATTCGGTGAAAGAATGCTGTTTCACCTCTGATTGGCTTTCCCTTTCTCAAACTCCCTCATTTTCAGATTACAGATGTTAGCAATATAGTTAAAGATAGCCCAAGTCTTCAAGTTCCTTTTGTTATATAAAAAAAGTTGTTTGCATTCAGGGGCTCAGTTACCAAACCAGAGGCCCTTTCCTGGGAAAGATAGGGAACTCTTCCCCCTCCCGCCGGCCCCGCGATTGGCCATGACTAGCTACCACAATAGCGGGGCCGTTTCCGTGGACTTTCCTGAGGTCCTGAAATCGCTTCTGGAATACCGTTTACCCTGGACGGGCACTCTGAAAGGTAGGACAAATCGCCTCCAGCACACGCCTATCTGTTCCCCAGACGGGGAGAAGGAAGGGGTGAATTGCATCTCGATTTCTGTATTATAGTTTGAGTGCCTGACATTCGTGAATTTCCCTCGATCTTGAAAATGGCAAGTTCCGCGAAACGTAGAAGGCAGTTTAACAGCAATAAAGTCCAGGAGCCTGTGGAGTGGGATAGGAGCCGAAAAAGATGCAAGAAACGGGGAGGGGGAGACTACGAAGTGCAGGATGCGGGCCTCTGCTGATCGATTTAAATTCTCAGATTTGTTATGTACTTTGAGAGCAGCTCAGATATTCTCTTTTCTATTCTCTTTTCCAGAGAAACGTTATTTAAAAGTGTTATAAAAATGAATTTCTGGTGAAAAGTTGGGTCTAGAGTTACAACTTTGGAAACATTCGTTTATGGAAGTTCTCTTTTTCTGATAAGGGTACAATTTTGCTCACTTCCTGCATTTCTGAATACTGGGCTAATACTTGTCTGAATACTTGTTTAAATTGTCACAGAAGCTAGTTGTAAATTTAAGGTACTGAATTTGAAAAATAATACTCCATGACAATGTAACAGAAATATTGAAGGGGCTTGCGCTTGTCTGCACCTCTTTTTTCAATATGAGGCTAATGATATTTTTTTTTTTTTTTTTTTCAATATAAAATGTTATTGTTTTCATCATGAAAAAAAAAGAAATACATCACAGATATTACACAATGTTATATCCCATCCCCCCGCCCCCCGGACTTCCCAAACCAAACCTAGGCTAATATTCAAATACAAGTAAACAAATATTAATATCTCTAACTCCAAACTCTAAACTTAAACAATCCATCTCCTCCGTATTAATAAAAATTATTCATTT